CCCAAGGTTCATTTTCCAGGGCTGATTGGCCCATGTCTGTCATGGTGGTCCAGAGGGTTTGCATTCCCATTGGAACCAAGTGCCCTGTATAATGAGCTCCCCTGGGTAAATCCACTCCTGCCTGTAGGATACCAGCCAAGGGCATCTTTCCTGTGTGCTGCAGCTGGAGAGATCATGTCATTCTTCCAGCTTTTTCTATTCCCTTCCTGACTTGCCCTTGGAAATTCAGAGCCAGGTTCGAGGGCGGCAGGCGCCTGACGCCACCTGCTGGTAACTCCTGGGAGCGCCCAGCTCAGGCCTATCTTGCGGGCAATGGTGTCCCCTGGCGGCAAGTCTCGGCGCTGCGGCTCTCTCCTTGTCGGGAGCTACCGAACCACACCTTCGGACCCCACAATTAGGCAGTTTGTGTCATTTCCAGCAGGATTGGAATCCAGGCAAGAATCCAGGGTTGACTCGGTACCCCCAGGGTTTGGGAGCTCAAAGTCACCCTGGAGTGCCAGTTTCTAAACCTGGCAGCAGTCACTGGTGGTCCTGAACTTTTTTTCCCTTCTCACTATAAAATGTATCAGGTGCATTCTAGAAAATACGAAACAGAAAAACTAAAAACAGAAACCTGTCAAGAAAATAAAAATTACCTAAAGTTAAACGCTTTTGTGTATACCCTTGTAATATGTGCTTTAAGTTACATATCGATGTATCTATTATTACTAAGTTGGGTCTATAATTATAGAGTCTTTTGAAAAAAAATACTGTTTAATATGTGTTCTGGAGTTCAGAAGAAGAAATTCTGAGAAACCAGAGATGCATAAAGGAGAAAAACAAACAAAAATTTATAATCCCACCATCCAGATAGATTTTCTTTTCAATTTAGTTTATTTGTATGACAATCAATTGTTATTTATTGCTACTTTATGAGAATCCAAATCCAAAATTAGGAAAAAGTTCCCAAGGGAAATATTAATTTTTGTTTCTTGGACTATCCCACACTCTCCCCAATTTCCCATCATTTTTTCGGAACATCCTCCATGCTCCCCTTTCCTCCATCCCCACTTCTAATCCAATCCTATGGCTTCCAGGGGGCTAGACTCAACAATAAACCTATGTGTATGCATCTGTGGGATTAATTCTTAGAAATGGAAGCACAGCTTAAAAGAGGTTATATGGGCTCTCTCTGGTGGCACATTGGTTAAAGCACAGCACTAAGAAGCGAAAGCCACTTTCGCATGAGTTTGATTCTCCAACCAGGAAGTGACCCACATGGCGCGGCAGACCTCTCCTGATCTGCTCACTGCTCCCCTCAGCAGTGTACTTCATCAGTC